TTCAGCAGCACTGTGTTCTTTTTGGTTTGGGGTTTGACTTCCAGCTGTACCACAAACCTCTGGTTAAAACATCATGGAAGTAGTCTATTCCCTTTGTCGCTCATTTCTCCGTTTTGGAATCAAAGTACTTCCTTCACTATATTTTGTATATCTGGACTGTAAATATATGGCTCAGACGACTTCACAACAACCCCTGGGGATGATGATCTAACATGCTGCTTGAGTCTCGAGATGCTATGCTAAGAGATACTACTGCAAATTCTGTTCTTTGCTTTTTTATGTCATCTTAACTTTATCTTGGTGAAGTGCCCCATCTTAAAGAGCACAGATCTCCACATGCTCAGCATCTCCCCCAAGAGTTGGGAGCACTTCTCACTTCCCAGGAAACATACAGTACCTTGTACAATCAGTCACAGTCTCCAAAAGGTAAATAGAGATGCTTTAAAGAGATAACAGCTTACCTGTAAGGATTTAGTTCATTCATCCACAAGCACACTCACCTAGGTATACCCTATATGCTAGACTAAAAACAGATCAGGCATTGTACAACTGGAACTAAAAATCTGTTTTCAGTACTTGCTTCAAACAACCACCATGGTTCATAATACCAAATGACAAATATTTTGTTTGCTTTTCCTTATCCAACAACTGGTAAAAAAACTCCATTTCTGTAGCTCAGCTAAACACTGGACTGTCCAGATATAAGTAAGAGGACAGACACTAGCACAGGACCCCAGCTCATTCTCAGCACAGCAGTAGCATAAACAAACTCTACTTCACACCCTCCAAGTGGGTGGTAAGGCTGACCTCTCTGAAACCTCACTGTGGGCTTTCAGTCCAAAACAAAACTACATCAGCAAATTGGCACAAAAACATTACAGTCATATTCTTTAGACTTACTATGCAAAATAAAAGCTCTGTAGGTATGTAGGTATGTACCTATATTTAGCCATCATGTGAGACTGAAGTAGGACACTACCAATTTAAACTCCACCAGAGTTTTTGGCCACACTCTCCATATCTGTTCTCATCTGCATAGGTGCAAAGCTTGGGTAATACCTGCCTGTCAGCAGGGTTTACTGTAGGCAATAGCACTTCCACAATTTTGATAGCTGACCCAACACTGAATCATACTACCCAGCACCACAAAACCACTAAGTATATAGGACAATGATCAATTATAATTTCAAGGGGCCTTGGGTCTAAGCCAGGATGTCCCTCTCACTTCTAAACCCTCTCTTTCCAACTGCTCTGATTTTGGCAAGGGCCTGAACCCTACTGCTCGCATTCACAGTGGTTGTAGAGTTATAAATTCTCCTTTTTCTCTGACTCCACTGGAAGTCAGGCTACCTAGCTCAACCCTCTCCCTCATCCATTGCCAGACTTGTCAGGAACAGGAGCTCAGCTCTGCTCCTCTTTTGCTGGGCAGGAGAACAGGCAGCTGAATTAATGTGGAAGCATGAGCTGCTTGCAGCCCTCCCACTGCTCTGTGCCAAAGTGCCATGCAAACACCACTGCTCGATTCTGCAGAGAACCAGGTTTCTCATACTTGGTTGAACAGAAGTTTATTTTCACAAATATTATATGACTATCAATACCTAGTAAGTTTAAAATTCTGCACCTAGGAAATGTGTCACCCTGAGAACTAAACCTTCTGATCTTGTTTTCATAGTTTCTAGCCATTTTCCCAGGAAAGTAACTATAAACATAGATGTTTATACATTCCATTAAATAAATGTCTTTTGACGGACGTTTCTCATGACCGGTATGATTGGGAAGGTGGTAACCTGACTATCCAATCCCTGGTCATTGTCAAGAATCTATAAATATTGGAATTATGGAATAAATCACTCTCTTTTTCCTATCATACACTGAGCTGTGTTCATGTCAATAATTTCGTGTCCTACAGCTACAGAAATGTATCTGGGAAAACATAATCCAGGAGTGCAGGACAGGCTGTGATCTGCCTGGCTGGGGAGCAGCTCCGTGATAAGGAACCTCAGTGTCCTGGTGGACCATGAGCTCAATATGAATGAACAGTGTGCTGCTGTGACAAAAAAAATAGAGCCAACAGGATGCTGGGTTGCATCAGCAAGGGCATCACCAGCAGAGATTACAAGTAATTATCATATTCAGTGCTTGTCAGGCTACACCTGGAATACTGTGCTCAGTTTTGGTCCCCGCTATACAAAAGAGATGTGGACAGTCTGGAGGGGGCATCTTCTATTAAGAAGCAGGCATCAATTCACCCCAGGAAAAACATTGTAGTGCACCTTGCATTTTACAAAAAAACCAGCAGACCACTGGAGCATGATTTTCTTCATCAGAGTTTGGTATTACCAAACGTGAAACTCTTATTCACTGAGTCATGTACTACACAAACCTTCAAAAGCATGTTTTAACTATAAACCTAAAACTATATAAAACTATGTTAGCTTATAAAACTAAAATAGTATACTATACTATTACTAAATGATTTGTTGTACCCACAAACTGCTGGCAATAGCTTGATGCTACTTACTGACCAGCTGATGCCTGCCTATGACTTACCAAAACAAAAATCCTAGGTCTGTGTATCTCCTGAATTATGTAGGTGTCTTCTGAATACAGGACTTTCTGAACACAACTTTTTGCTAGAATAAGCCTCTCTGAAAGCCCAGGTGCAGTTCAAGCAGGTATTCACACCCCTGGTGCCACTCCCATTAACTGCTGGAATGGCAACTTTTGGAGCAAAGATTTTCTTCTGTGTTTGTTACAGTGGTTGTCTTACAAGAAGTACTTCTATGCAGTTAACATAATACAACTAAGGTTTAGCCCTGATTTGATGTAGAAGTGCATTGCTTGCACATGCCATGTAACAATTATAAATATCTATAAAAATATATCAACAATTCCACAGCCTCCTCTATAAAAATCAGCTATTTGCACCTTAACCAAGCATAAGCACTCTCTAACTGCTGAGAACAGCTCCAAGGAATGAACAGGATGCCCAAGTCCTAGGTAAAGTAAAACTATGGAACATGTAGATTAGATTTCTTTCAAATTTATCTTATATGTCCTACAGCTGTGCTTTTTTAGTAATCTTAAATTTCCACATCTTTGCCCCACACAACCATCTGATGTTTAACTGAGGACTAAAGAAGTCAGCATTACGTAGCTTCCTAGGTTCAGCATTAAGTTTTACGACAGTATTCCCCTCCAAAATCTATAGTATTTCTGCTGTCCATGTTGAATATAAATTATACTCTTTTTCTCACAAATCTCAAAAGCTACCTTTAAACAGAGGTCCAGTGTTTTCCATAGGTTTTACACTTTCAGATCAGAAAAGGGAAAAATCCCACTTTTGGCTAGTGAGTCTATTCTGGATATGCACAGATGGAATGAAATTGTTTTGTGGTATAACTGATAAGGAAAGTTAATCACTAGATAGAAATTGGTTGGAAAATAGATTTAAATGGCAGAGCAATATAACTCGCCTTATTTGGTTGCCACCGGCAATGCAACAAAAGTAGCACTCCTGAGATGCAGAGGAGATGTTTATAGCAGGGAAAACAACACAGAGACAGACATGCTGAGGTCTCTTTATCTGATAACTTTGTGGTAATTGCCTTTCATGCCCTGTGGCATGTAGGATGCACTAATTTGGCATTCAGTGAGTACAGCAAAGAAGAATAATGCAAACAAAAAATAGTCAAACTCTACCCTACTGCTTTATCTTACAAAATTACCATGGCACAGCAGTACCAAGACATCATCACAAAGTCTAAGGTAGGCACTTCTATGAGCCAACATCATCCTCTTCCTACAGTCCAGTCTCATTTTCATCAACGTATGTGACTGATTTCATCAGCTCTTTCCAAGCAGCTCTGCTGTGAGGTCTAGTTTTATTTTCTGGCTGAGATTTTGCCCTTGGTTTGAACCCCAACTGAGCAGTTATAGACATTTCTTCCTCTTTTTCAACTGTCCACTGATGTCTCCTTTACTGAAGGTAGGGAGTTTTCAAAAACTGTTTCTACCAGAATCAACAGGAATTTTGTCTCTGATTTTAATGGGTTTAGAACTTGTGTCTGTTGCCCTTTCCTCTCTCTCCACCAACTACTGTGTAGAAGCAAAGTCATCAGTATTGCTGAGCACAGCTCAGTTCCCAGGCACCTTCTTCTGTCAAACAGGTTTTTTAAATATTCTTAATTTACATTTGGGGGTTTTCTCCTGCACTTTTTATACTGACAGTGTCTCACCTCTTAAAAACCACATACAGCTGTGAGTATATGTGCTCCGTCTTTCTCATAATAGCTGGCCCCAGAGACAGCAAGCCTTTATTACTAACTGCAGGGAAGAATGCACTACACTATGTTCTACCTGACACAGCTGCAGCTCCTCCACATCTGCTTTACAGTCACTCATTCAGCATCCAGACTCACCACTTTGCATATTTTAATTGTGCAAGAGTAGCAAGGACAAGAAGAATGAAAGAATAACGGACAAAGGTACACATACGGTCAGACAGAAATACACAAATGTGGCATGTGCTCACTATTTTATATTATTTGTTGTTTATAATCTGGTCACACCTCTCATCAACAGCCCCACCAAGAAAAATCTTATCTTACACTTACTGTTTCACACACAGTGGTCTCTTTCACAAAGATCAGGCAGCAGATGCCAGTGAGACTTTGTATTAGTAATGCACCGAGGAAAAAGTTAGTAATACATTAATTCTTTACATCCTTGTGAATTTTCTAATAGAAGCCAAGATTCAACTCTACTGAAGGTAAATTCAGCTCCCCTTGCATTCAATACAAGTTGTTCACATTTTTTATAAGGGATGAGCTGTACGCAGAGGATTTGGTGGTTATGGTTACAGCAAATCAAGTAAGATGCAACAGATGCAATGAGAAATGGTTGGAAAGCAGCAAAGATAAAGTCCAAGGTCTAAATGCCAGGTTTGCATGTATGCCAGCTGCTCTGCAGCTCGGGAGAGGCAGCAAACAAATACTTACCAGGTTTAATTTCCAGCAGCTTCAGCCTGGAATCCTCAGGGGGATGCAAACGCCTCTTTTTGCGCCAGCAACGTGCTGGGTATGTGTACAGCTGACCTGGGGCCAGGCCTGAAGATTAAAGGCAAAAAATTAATCACGTTTCAGTATGTAAACCACAAGCACTGTCTCTAGCATCTTTGTTTTTGCCCTTCCAGCATCTCCTTCTTGGAAGGTTCAATCCTGCAAATCATGAGACAGAGCTACACTCTCAAGGCATCCAGTGCTCCTGAGGCTCTTCGGCACCTCTTGGGATCAGGCCTACAGAGAATCTAGGTCTCACTTAGACCTAGATTCATTCAGCTCACTGAAACCAGAGCTGCACATAAATAATTTGTGATTTCTTCAGGGTAAATAGAATTTCAGACTCTCCTGGGTCACAGGGGTGATGCCTCCTCCACGGGCAGAGAAAGCCCCTTGAGAGAGAAGAGAGGAAGTTCTGACATGCAAATCTTGAGGCCCTGATGCACAGAGCAGCTCAGGAAATTTTTGTCTTCCAAAAGGGAGCAAACCAAGATCCAAGAGGTCTGACTGTAGTTTTGCTTACATTCTGGATTTTTGTTTGAATGTTAATTGTTCATTTTGACTCTTACCTCCTCATGCATTTACTCTGAATGAGGGAGGAGATACACAATAATGTTTATGTCATTTGCATGTTCCCTTAAATCACATTTGGCATCACTGGATTTAGAGCAGCCCTGGCTCTCCTGACAGACACCCTTCAGCCAATGTTCGAGCTATACTTTGCTCTCTTGCATTCGGGACACAGCAGGGCTTTGTGAATGCGTCATTTCTAGGGGCACAGAAGCACACCGACAAGTGCTTCAAAGTATCCTCAACTGCCCCAGATAGTCATGACACACAGAAACACCCAGAAAGAAAAGTTGGAGGAATTTAATTCTCTCCTCTGCTTTTCCTGCCCTCTCTGTCCACCAGTTCTGGTTTGGCATCTTTGCCCTTCTGCTGTTGCTGTTGTCTTGAAGGGGCCACAAAGCATGACTTCAATTCCAGACTCATTGTCCTCAAAAACCAGGAAAGACCACATAAGAGAGAGAACAGGAGTGGTGTTGCTATATCTGAAACTGTACCGACAGCGAACAGCTGGGCAGCATCAAGGGGGTGCCAGTAAAATAGAACAGCTCAAGGGCAGGAGGATGGCCCAAGAGCTCTCTCCTCTCTTCTGAAGCAGCCATGAGTGAGTATCAGCTTGGGAACAAAAGCAACTCACCATACCAATTGAGAATAATGAAAAAACCAATATCCTCTTACTTGAGGGTGGGGAGGAAGACACAATAACATAATTCACCTTGAGGGAATGTGCTAATCAAATTCTGCAGGTGAGACCTAAGTTACTGGTTTTAAATATTTCAGCTGTTGGGAATGCCAGCTCAGACCCCAGCACCTTCCACCTACTTCCAAGGCCTTGAAGCATCTGTGGCAAGTGATGGAGTATCTGCAGAGATTCTGGCTGTTTCAGGGCACAGAATGCTATTGGGCTTTTCATGCCCTTCTTACACTTATGCCCAGAAAGCTGGGCATTGTGTACATCCCAAGAAGGACACATTTCAGATCAGGTTGCCTAAGACCTGTTTGGAAATAAAAATATGAATAACCACCCCTTATGCAGTGTTTGGACATCCTTCTTCATGCCACTTTGCAAACATTAACCACTGCAAACAACTGCTATAATGATGAGGTGGATTGTGCCTGGCTCTGATGTGAGTAATTAAAGAGGTGGAGGCAAGAAGCCCCACCCTTTCTCAGCAGGTCCTGTGCAGGGACTTAAGACAACACAGAAATGGCAATTGGCAGATCAAAGCAATAGGATAGAGAATCAGCCCTCCATTGCACCGGCCTCCACAGAAAAGCCTTTTGAAGGAATAAGTACCACACCTTTTGTCGTAGACAGAGAGGAGTAAAGATCTACTAGTTTTGGGGGAATATCTGCTAATGCAAGCACTCATATGAAAGAGCAGTTCTGGATTCAGGCAGGACAGCAAAAGCCAACTACACATGCTGAAAGCCCAATTAGAAACTTGAAAGAAGAGAGTTGGGAAACCCTTTTCCTTAGAGGGTGGCAGGTAGATCAATAAGAAACAGATGATCCAACATCCACCTCTGCAACCCTTCAGGTAAGCTCTGTGTTGCTGCTCACAATACATCTGTTCATTAATATACTGCCATCCAATGAACTTAGAACACATATCAGATTTTCACTTCATTCAACCCACCAATGCTGCCTTCATTTCTCTACCCTGTTCCTCTTCTGTCGCTGTGCTGGCTCACATGAAGTGTAGATCTTACACAAAGGAGAGGCAACAGGGAAAGGGTCAGTTCTGATTGCTCTGAATGCAGCTCCTTCACAGGCAATTTTGCAGTGAATATGGAAATAATGCATATTACTGTCTTCAGCCCTCAGTGGGTTGTCTCTCTCTCTGGTACCTTATAGGGCAACCAGAGAAGGTTCCAACCATTTGCTTACAGAGGAAATAGCAGAACCTGCAGTGAGTTATGTTGTTTATCTCATTAGTGTAGGAGAGTCATAACTCAAAGCTCGTGTGAAAGGCCAGAGGAGGAGGGGAAAAGGAGGGAGTTATGTGCAGTATTGTGTGAAATTAACCCTGAACTGTTAATCAGGAGATGCAGATTTCTGACTCCTTTAACAAAGAAGACAGCAAGAACTCAGGTTAATATGCTGAGTTCCTGACTCTTCTCTGTTTTTCAAGTCTGTATAAGTGAAAATAGGTCTTGGAGCTTTGCCATTTATCTAGTTTTTCAGGTTAAGGATAGTAAATGGTAGGGAGCACAGCACACAAGACAGATACCAGGATGGCTGGCAGAGAATTTTCAGAGCCCTTTAGTATGGGCACAGGTACATTGTGTACAGACCAAAACCGGACATGCTAAAACTGTAGAGGGATGCCTTGACTCACCCTAATACTACAAGAAATTGATACTACAAGAAACAGATTACGCAAAGACACTCCAGGTAGCACTAAATGGGCTAATAAAAATCAAGAAAGAGGAAAGGAAATATGGGGGAGGAGGGCTGGTTCATTTCGCACTGATTATTCTAATTCAAAATAACAATGTCATCAGATTTGGTGGCCAATGCAGATGCAGGAGGCTTCTTTCACCTGATACTCTCTGTGAAGAATGTTCCACCATTCGTCTCCAGTGCAGACCTGCAGGAGAAATGTCACCTATCCCCTTCTGCAGGGCAAGCTGCCAAATAGTTCACTATCAGAAGTGAGGAAGGAAAGATTTGAAAAATTAATTTTCTCGAGGTAGTCCACGAAGCTTGTGGCTGAGAAAGGCAAAGAATTAAGACATCTTGGTCCCAGGTGTGATGCTGTAACACACTTGTGATGATTCCTTCTGCATGTGTACAGATGCCAATGAGATTCATACAGTAGATGTATACCTGTATATATATATATATATATACACACACACACATATATATGTGTATGTATGTATGTATATGTATATATGTATGTATATATATATATATATATGTATGTGTGTGTATGTATGTATGTATGTATTCTGACTGTGTTCAGAAGGATAAAAATACTAGCACCTTACTCATAACAAGAGCAAGAGAAGGAACAGGAACAGGAACAGGAACAGGAACAGGAACGGGAAGAAACCTAGTTTATCCAAAGCATAATCTCTTGGGATTAGAGAATTTTCAGCCGAAGCAAAAAACTTGACTGTGGTTAGGAAGCCACCCTAGAAAAAAAAGGGTTAGTCCAGAAGTGTAGACAGCTCCCATCTTGTGAACCGCATTCAGCAGTCCTGAATTACCCCAGCAGTTTTGGTAGCTATTCTTTGGGTATTTTTAACACTATAAAAACACCTGTTGTCTCCTGCACCAGAAGTGGCTGCATTTTACTATATAAACAGTTTTCTAATAGTCCTGCAAGACAACACTAAATCTACTTTTGACATTTTAGTAACAGGAGGAGCACAAGGATCCTTCCTTTAGTATATCTTAGTAAAAAGGGAGAAGGAAAGTTTCAACTAAGACAGAGCTAGGCACTTTTCAGAAGCAGCAATTGCTTTCTTAGCTCCAGGAGGGTAAAGGAATATCCTATATGTTCCTCCCACTTAATCTCCTGTAAACCAGACAGTAGAGGAGATTGGAGCAGGCTTTGCCTTCCCATAATTTCAGATCTAGAATTTGAGGGGGTGGAGGGTGAAGGTGGGAGGGTGTCAATATTGTTTAGAAAACTGGCACATATTTATGCACATTTGCACGTGTCACACTTCCAGTATCCATGTGCCCCAGGTCCCTTCCTGCCTGGATTCTCTGGGCTGCACTAAAGGGGTTGGGGAAAAAAAGGTAGAAATACATTTTGGTGCTGTCAAAAATCTGTTCCCTGAACAAATTATTGGTCAGATACTGAGCTACAACCTAGCCAAATTCCCTCTGTGGTTCAGAAGGACTTCTGTCTGAGCAACACCTCAAGTCTTTGAACTGGTGAATGTCCTTTGCCCTTCAATAAAGGGATTTCAGATGGATTTTCTAACAAAGGAACAACTGACCAAAGTCTACAAAAATAACAGTGCTCTTTTCCCTTGAGCTTCACTGAGCTGTGGGACAGGCATTAGCCAAAGCTCCTTAAGGAAGTATACCAACTTCTCTCTGTACCCAAGGGAACCGCAGCTCCAGAACTGATATCCAAGTTAACCTATCTAAAGCAGAACCGGGATTTATAGATATATTTCTGACAATTAGAACAACATTCATTCCATTAACTGGACTCTCCTATATTTTACTTCAGTTTTATATCCTTCCTAGTATAATTCCTTGTTTTCAGCATTCATCTGAGAAACTCCCACCTCCACCTTGGAGGTAATTCCAATCCTGTTTAAAGCAGAGCATGGAGTCTTCCGCTACAGACTGGGATTGATAGCATGAAAATAGCTACAATGATGCAGCCTTAGAAACTACCATGTCAGGCACTTCTTAGCGTAGAGAGGGGGAGTAATTAGCATGAGCTCTCTGCAGTTACCAAAGGAAATCCCCTGCAGGCGCAGAGGTTTAGCAGTTTCTCTTCTGTGTGGCCTGTAGCAGGTTTGAGCTGCTATTAATTAAACCCCATGAGGGCTCAGTGGCCAGCCCTCCGTACATGCACATGCATTCACAGACACAGCACTACCAACCTGGTCCCCTGTGCCTCTTCTCCATCCAGATGTAGCAGTTGTTCTGAGCTACCCCAGTTTGAGAATCCAGGAAGGGAAGGCGGACGCTTCGCTCGGCACAGAGCCGAGAGTTGTAGCTGCGACAGTGCTCAATGGCTTCTTTGTAGAACTGGTCCCCAAGTCTGCCAAAAGAGACAGGAGAGTGAGAATGATTGCACGGCCCCTTCCAGCAAGAGTAGGAAAAGGGGACGTGAGGTTGGTTTGAAAATAGAGAAAACAGAGAAACTTTGCCTGGACAGAGGCGAATGTTGGTGACACGAGACACAGATGAAGCACATCATGCAGAAAGTGATGTCAAATTCATCAAAAGGTCAGGCTGTCAAAAACCAGACACAGATCTTTTCAGTAGCAGCGTGGCTACTGAATGAGCAAATGATGCAATCACACTGGCCCATGACCCTGGGTCAGGCCTATATACACCACAGTGAACTCATTTCATTGTTTCTCTTCCCCTGTAGTTTGTCCAGTCAATTCAGCAAACCAGTGATTTCAATCCCATGTTACAGCAACTACTGCAGTATGTTTTAGGCAACCAGAAAGCCAGCCAAGTTTAGAAGAACTTTGCTCCAGCATTTCTGGTGTCAAAGAGCCCGTAAGAGCAAAGACTATAGTTCTCTTACTGTGTGCTTCTGAGGCATTAAAACACAGCCCTTAACAACTAGAGCCATATCCACAATGGTCAGACTAGATGTTTTGTCATAAGCCTTCCAGAGTTTTCCACAGTGAAGCCCGAGGTGCCAGGAGCAGCAGGCTACAGCAGCGACCAGTCAGATCCAGCGTGGCAAATGCTGCTTTTCTCTGGAGCCCAGTGGGAATAACAGTTCTAAAGACAATGTCACTTACTTCATAAATAACTGGTTGTTCAAAAATTCTGTAGAATCTTCATCTTCCCTTGAGATAGGTTTAAAAACTGCCTGCTGGAGATTACCAAAATCCTCCCCCCAAAGTTTTCTAAACAGGGAAAAGCATCAAAGTAAAGCTACCCTGAGGACACAAAGCAGCTGTCATGCTGGAGCATTGCAAAGTAGGTGGGCCACACTGCTGAACCTCATTCTTGATCTATTGTCAAGGTGAAATTCACTCGTGACACGAATAGCTAGGAAAGCTACCTGTTCGGGGTAAGTTCATTAGAAAACAAGAGCAGAGTGATAGATCGCATAACTTGCTCTGACTCTGATATTCATTAGTGTGCAAAAGGAGTATAGCACATACAGCAAGTGAGCCAAAGGGATGCACGCACAGAGATAAAAGGATCTCCCTTTGCTGTTCTATTAGTTGTCTTCCACACTATCCTCTTCCATAGTCACAACTGGCATTTTAAAATTTTGCACACCTCTGGATGTCAAATCAGTGCAAACTGCTGTTTTAACATCTGAACCTTTTTTGTGACTCACATCTTGTAAGTGACTCCTCAGTTGTACCTTATGCTTTGCATGGGAGTCAAACTTTTTTCCTCTTGGCTATACTGGACCAGTACCCTATTGCTGACAGAGGCCAAAAGCAGAGGCTTAGGGAAGAACACAAATACAGAAAATAACAAGGGGGGCACCTCAAATTTCCCCTTCTCAGTTCTGACGATCAGAACTTAATTTACTCAAGTCTCAGGTTATCCGGTGATGGGGAGATCAGAATATCCTTTGGCTACAGAGATTTCCTAAGGGTTTTTCAGAGGTTTTGTGCAGCAATGAACGTCTGTGTGAACATGGTGCCTCTCAGACCTGTCCTCCCCTGCTGACCACCAGCTCCTGGGCAGCTGCCAGTGCAGGGATATTTGGAGGGCAGCTGAAGGAGAGAGCTCTCTGGACTGTGCCAGCAAGTGGAGGGTATAGTCATGGGCAGAGCGCGTACAGCGGGATCCCTCTGGACACCGAATCCCCTGCAATGACCTCAAACGCCCTTTTCCATAAAAAGGCAGGGGGGAAGGGAAGGGGAACAGGGGAAAAAGGAAAAGATAAGCTGCTCTACTATACAAAGAATGTGACTAGGAAGAAATTAAATCTTATTAAAAGCTGTAATTAAAGTTGTACACTTGTGTAATCAAAGTCAGTAACAAGGAGACCCCAGTTGATCAAAGATTAACAACTCTTTCCACAAACACTTGAGCTTCCTCAGAGCTATGTCAGATTCCTTCTATATTAAACCAGGGATGCTCTCTAACTCTAAGGAGTTTACTGGAAAGAAAAGCATAGCTGTGTGACAAAAAACTGCCACCACTGCATAAGTCTTCCTTATGCCAAAAATCACTTCAGTCATTAGAACATGCATACCACAAAGCATCCATATTAACGAAAACAATACACCTCAGCAACCCAGACATAGGATCTGACTGGAGATTGCTTCAGTTTCCACCTGGCTCTAAGACTGAAAGTAACTTTAAGTCTTCAAATGTAAAATATTTGGCATTAAATCACACTATCAAGCAGACTAGATTTCAGATTTTTCTAGAAGGGAGAAAAGGGGGTTTGAGATCCTAATGGCAGAGAAGCAACCAAACTAATGAGTCAAATTCACTTTTGACAAAATCTCGCAGTCTAGATGTTTCATTACATTTATCTCAAAGATTTTAAATATGCGATTTTTGCCTTAAAGAAAAATAACAATTTAGAAGCATTCAGTCATCTCCATATTTTAAGAACGCCTGCCTTGGCTCCATTACAGCAAGCATGATCAAAAAATGCAGTTCTCTAACTATTCACTGGAAAGATATTCATATACTGAGACCTTGAGGAATTGCCCTGGCCTTAATTATAAATGGATTTTTTTTTTTTAAGTAACAAATAATAAAATATAGGAAAGCAAAGAAATTATATTTCCTTATGATACCTATATGTCAGTAGTAAACAGCTTTCCTGAAATTACTTTTCAGTGCCTAGTTTTTTTTTTTTACCATTAGTCTTTACTGGAGGATTCTGACTCATTCCAAACTTCAGTTTGTTGTTTTGTTTTTTTTCAAAACTTCAAACTTAGAGATATTTTTTCTTTTTTTTTGTGCTGCATATCTAAACACAGCATGTTTTATCTTATGCAGGAAAATATATTAAAATCAGGACAAAAAAGGGGAAGTACAGTCCTATTGTGTTCATCATTGTGGAGTCAGGGAGGTGGGACAAATCCCAGCCCCCTCCCAGGAGGTTTACAATGGAGCTGGAGAACAGACAAGGGTGGGAATAAGACTGGAAAGCACATGAGCTCAAATGAAACTCAAAAGATCTGTTGAATTTGAGCAAGTGAGATATGAGAAGAGAAAAAAAATTAATATTATAAAGTGTATCATATGTCAGAAAAAAGATTAATTATCTGTTACATGCTTCATAGTTTTCCCAAACTGTGTTGCTATGGAAGACTTCCACTTCTACTCCTGAAAAAGTATCTGTAAGAACTATGGGGAATTTCCTCATTATTTTTATGAAAAGTATGTATGAGTCAGTGCTGTGCTGTGACTGACTTCAAGGGTCAATTCTTCCCTTTGGACAGGGGAGTTAAAGGTCACACAGACTTGTCTAGATTGATATTAATGACACAAAATCATCAGCAAATGTGCAGATTTTAAAGATGGTGGGAAAAAGAAAGCAAGGAGCAGACATGAACAACTGCTGGACAAGAAAGGCAAATCATACTGAAGGCAGCACAACTGGAAATACAGAACACAGTTGTCAGCACACCATGAAAAACACACAGCCCTTCGGTACAGAGCCCCAGGTGAAACCCCAGATGTTTGGGACAGGCGTGGCAGTGACACTGCTGGCATATACACAGGCTTTGCACTTACATACCAACCCATGCACACTAAAATAACCTGGTTCTGGCTGACTGGTAAAAGCTCCTGGACTTGGAAAAGAACAACCTATGCTATTGCATACTCCTGCAAAGCTGCATATGAGGGGTAAATATTTGGTAGAGTTTAGGGTCTCTTTACTGGTGTTAAAAAGTGGGACTGAAACGAAAGAGCAGGCTGAGAGCAATGGAAGCTTGGTGTGCACAGGGAGGTGAGCACTCTGAAAGCCCCAGCAGCCCTGTGGGTGCTGGGACAGCAGTGTGAGCCCGGTGCAAGTCTGTGCAGCCTTGCAGGTAGTCACTGCCATGACAGCAAGCACCAGCATGGAAGATCAGACTCTGTGACTTCCTTGAGGTCACTGTTCTTTTAAATGTTAAGAAACTGAAGTTTCCAACTTACTACTTTTCTGTATAGTACCTAGTGCTGCGCCTCTGCTGTCTAGGCAGACAAAACAAGAAACAAAGCAAACAAAAAAAAAAATACCACAAAAACTTGCCTGTCTTATAAGCCCATAAATTAGCAACAAGGACCAAGAGGCTGACTTCACTCCAGATGTTCAAGAGGTTTCTGTGCTGACAAGGGACCTTGATGGGCCCTGAAAGCAGTGGAGCAGCTCTCCACCACTACTTCACAGTCCATCCTGCAAAGTCACATATTTTTGAGGGCACTTACACCTTTTATAACAGCTACAAAATAGGCAGAATCCAGCATACCCCTCCTGCAGTGCCTAACACAATTCAGGTTAGTATCCAGAGAAGGTGAGCACTTCCTGAAGATCTATAACCAACCATGCTCAACAATGATTACAGGTCCACATAACCCTGGGAAAACTTGTATAACAAAGAACCACTCTTCCTTAAGTGCAGTTCTTAAATTTCCACCAGATACCTCTGAGTATGAATCCAGATTGTCTTCAGTTCTTGAGGCCAGGCCTCTTTCCAGTCATTTCCCTCTAAACCCATGCTCACTACATGACTAGGCAAGTAAAAACCTGATAGCACAGGAAGAAATGACTAGTCATGTAACAGAAAGCAACAGACTTTTCCTTCTACAGTTTGCAATTGTCCTTAGCCACCATCAAAAATGTGGGCCTTGCTTTCCTTAAGACCATGGAGTTTTTGTTTACTATACATTCAGCTTCTAGTCTTACATTTTAGTTCATTTGACGCTGTGAGCAGCAGCGAGGACAACCGAAAAAGACCTTTTAAATCACACCTAGTTTTTCAGCAGCACTGCCATCCAGTTTTAAAGTGGGTGAGATCAGAGAAGTGGTATGAGAGAAGTGATGCAATGCAGCTTCAGAAGGTACTTTTTACTCTTCTTCTGGAGACACTCATGAAT